CAACATACCTCATGTAGGCAGAGGTGTTGCCCAGATAGGAAAGCCATGATAAATTCCCCATTGATCTTTGACCACCTCCTAGGTTTAACTCACTGATACATCTTCCCCAGATCTTTATTCCAGTATTTCAAAAATCTGAAGAGTTTCGGGTACCACAGAAATGGAGTCAACACAGAAATATTTCCTCTTTCCCACCCCAAGTGTGCAATTTCTGCACAAGGCTCTTTGGGTCAGAGGTCCAGGTCAGGTCAAGATGAAGTTTGTGTGAGGGCCAGCTTTCCTGAACTTCAGATGTCACAGTTTTGACATATGCTGTCTCTAGAGTGAGTGGTGAGACACTCACAGGTTTGACTCAAAAGGGGGGAAGTGCTGGGCTTAACCTTGAAATTGCTGCCCCACTCCAGGTACCCCAAAATTTCATTTTGCTAATTGCATCTTGGCTCCTGGTGCAGCTATAGCATTTGGCTCTAGAAGTGATCAAAAATTGCCCCTTTTCACTAAAAACCAGAAACCTTTTCCAACCATTTAAGAAATAATACCTCTGCTAGTTTCACAGAACCTACACAAAATATCAGACCAAGTTGTGGTACCAAGGTAATTTTGTAATATTGTCTGATTTGCCCTGCCAGCACATATTCGTGATGTGTGCTATGTCATACACACACACACGCTCTCACAAGCACAGGGAGACATCCTTTCCTTCCAAGCACAGCAGGTTTGCAGAACTCAAATATCTATTAACACAATTTCGGGTTTTTATTCCATTTCTTCTGTAACTTTTATTACAAAGCCACAGACACAGACATGATGTGCTGTTCTGTCTCCTTTTGATGTGTTCAGTTACTATATTTGTCACCAACTGAAAATCATAGAACACTTTAACACTTTTTATTTTCAATGTCTGATAAGTTTTCAGTTTGAAAGGGGCTGACCATAGAAAGATTGTCCATATAAAGTTTAAAAAAGCCACACACAAACTGGCAGGTAAGGCCATGTTTGATCTCTAATGCAAATAAAATTAACAAAGATAGTGAGTTTTAAGCCTAAAATTCCTTTGATCTTTGAAGCTCCATGGGTTTAAAAGTACAACTGCCTTCTGTATCACAGCCTGGCATGTATATGTATACATGCCTACATGCCTATATGCCTACATGTATATGTATACAAATACATGAAATAAAAACTTTTGTGTTCAAAATAGGGTCAGTTACTAATGGCAAGACTATGGTTTTCCTTAAACACCCTCTATTCAGGAATGAAGATGCATCCAAATTTTTTTCCACTGAAAAAAATATTCATACACAAGCACAACCTGGTTGAATTTATTTGAACTAAGGAAGACTTTGCAATATATGCAAGGTACAACCAAGTCCTAAAAATCAATGGTATGCAGTAGGGTATGGGACAGAGTGACTCGAAAGAGCCCTTACAGGTACCCCGTGGAGGCAAAATAATTCCTCAAAAACATGAACACCCCCCCCCCAGCACAGCAAAAGGCCCAGACAATACCTACAGCCCTCTACAGGGCATATGATGATATTTTCCTGGGAGGAAATTTCACAGCGGTTTTGGTGTGCAACAGGAGATGCTCATGAGGGAGCAGATACCCAAGGCAGGATGAAATCCCCACGCTTTCTGCAAATCAAGACCTTCACAGCATCTCTCATGGCACATCCAAAACCAGAGCTGCCTTCTCGGTGCTGTGGTTGGGAGCTGCAGCTGTGCTGGGCTGATGCTTTATCCATGCTGGGTAGTTCACTGCAGCTTTGCCTTTGGAGAGCTCTGCCAGCATCACTAGAGATTCATCTCTAATGCAGAAGCTTTAAGGGGCAGGAAGAAACCACTCCTTCCACTTGAGCCACGTGGCAAAATGTGGAGGTTTTGACTGGATGATAAAAGACTATGGAGCTGGATCACAAAGGGCAGAAGGCACTGGTGGAGAGTGCTACACACAGCCTGGAAGACTGTGCTGTGTGGGAAATGCAGGATTGCCTCTTTTAACCCACTAACCCTCTCTCTGAGGGTCAGAGATATAGCTGCCATTTGAAAAAGTGCTGTAAGATAATCTCTCAGGGTTTGCTCAGTTGAACCGTACAACCCAGTGTTCACCTCCACCTTTGAAGCTGGTATCAGTACCACTAGCACAGCATGTGTTAGAAGTGTCCTCTTGCTGCAGCACTGGACTAGAGAGCAGAGAAGGGCCACGGCCTTACGGGGGAATCCTGCCCTTTGCCATGCCTCTAATGTTGCTGGAATGTGCAGTGGCTTGGGATGTACCATGGTGCAGTAAGGAGTTTCCCACAGGTACTACATATGAGATGTAGCCCTCAGTATCTCTCATACAATTACTGTCTTCTTGAAATAAAGGTGATGTACTTAGTGTATAAAGCCTTTTTTTTTTTATTAAATTACTCAGTATACTACAGCCATTAAAAACTCCTGACTAAATCATGCCTTACATCCAAACAGAGTCCTCAGTCCTCAAATTTAAGTTTCCCTGAAGCTGAGAGGATGCATATGAAGGTACCCTTAATCTGAATTTAGCTTTTAGGGACCTCGCCAATTTGTGTTAACAAAGTTTAACTGAACCCTCCTGCTGAAAAAGAAACAATGGTTAGCGATGGGTTGCTTTATTATAACCTCTGTAGGAACACTATGGTGAGGAATGGTCTTCCTGTAGAGGTTATTACATGGATATCCCACTACTAAAGCAAAAAAGGGACCTTTTGGAGCAGTATGTATTGATGAAGAAAAGTAGGAGCTGATGTATTTCACTGAATTGGGGCCCCATCTCACAGCACTGCGGCTGAGCAAACAGGGAACTGTTTGGTTTGCTGGTGATTCAAACAAACCACCAGAAAAATCACTGCAGGTCAACACAGAGTAAATACCTTCAGAAATGTTCAGAGAAAAGCAAAGCCTAAAGCACTGCTTTGTTTCAGATTAAATAAAGTGTTTCACTATTAAACAGAGTATCTGGTTTGGTGGGGATCTCTTTCACAGAACAGGCTTGAGAAGGAAGTAATTTCAAACTTAAAAACTCTCATTTTCAGATTTTCAGGTTGTTTTTTTTTTTTTTTTTACCAGCAAACTTTAAATGAAACTCAAGAGAAGAGCAAACAGTTGCTGCATTGCTGAAGCTGCCTTCTCTAAAGAAAATTTTGGCCACTGAGGGGTTGGGTGCCTCTTGTTGGTGTGCAGAAGAATGAAGGTTCAAGCCCCACTGGAGAGGGGAACAGCTCCAGCTCTTCTCGTTGCTCCCAGCTCAGCCTCCACTGCCTCCTGCAGCAGCTGCAGCTACAAATTGCTTCACCTGCATTCCATAATTTCCCCTTCCAGGAACCCACCCTGAGGCCAAGGTTCCTTTTACAGCCTCACAAATTATTATGTTTTGATTTACAAAATTTTCTTTTAAGAAGAAGATCCGCTGCAGATTTGTGCTTAAAAGTCTAATGAAACCTTCTCCTCAACTCCCCCAAAAATGCATAGTGATGAGCACAGAGCTCTGCTACTGAAGATGAACGGGGTCCATGAGTAGTGAACTGGCCATTGCAGACCCTCACAGTCAGAATATAAGCAGGGAAAAAGGTCAGTTTCTGATGGAAAGGATGGCACCAGCAGTACCTGAGGTGATAGGAGATTGCGCATGGTTAGTGGACAAAGGCATAGAGACAGGTGACCACCAGGTTAGGAGAAGCACAGTTGGTCACAAGCTACATCGAGCATACTCTGAGCATGGCATCTACAGAACCTGGAAAAAAAAATCTTTATTTTCTTTGATCAAAAATACGTATAGAAATGCCTGTTTCGAGGAAAATATCATACATTTTTTTTTCTTGTTTAACAAAATAAATTAAATATACATGACTTCTGTTTAAACTCTATATAGAATTACAAAGGTTTTATATTTTGCAATTGGATTCATTCCCAGTCCATATAAGTATTTAATATGGTCCTTATTTATTTTCTCTTCTTTCTGTTTTTACTGTTGAACTGCAATGAAGTTTTATCATTTCCAAAATGATATCTGAGGGGAGGGGGCAACCACACACAACCTAGGTGAGTATTTCTCAAATGCATTTTTTCCTACAAGATTATTATTTCATTCTCTTTGTTTCTTATACTTTTTTCTAATGCTTTCATGTATTTTGCATTGACGTAGAAAATCCAGTCACTTGTCGCTGTAAGCCATCGAGAAGGACAGTGTGTTTTGCTTTCTTCACCATCAGCAGTTCAATTATTATTATTATTATTTATTATTATTTCTTAAATATAAATATAAAGGTGTTCTGTACAATGTTCCTCATTCCTTCTCTCCTTTTTCCTGGCAGTGGCACTGAGTCCTAGGACCAGGGGAGCAGCGCTCTTGTGGCTTGATCTGCAGAACATCCCATGGGAAACAAGATGTCTTGACCTTGCAGAAACAGAACCAACCAGTTCGGTTAGCTGGTTGTGCTGACTGTGACTGAGAAGCATTCAGCATTTCCCCTTGTGAATGGAAATTGGTTTTTCCAGACCCTCTTGTGTTATTTTTTCCTCCTGGAAGAGATGAATTGGTTATGTCTCCTGGTGCTTTGGCCCTAAATGTCAAGTACTTGAGAGCTCGGGTCACTCAGAGCAGGACAGGTCTGGGGGCTTCCCACCAAAACAAGTGATGTGTAACTGGCACAGGAACAGCAGTGCACATCCAGAAAAGTACCACACACACCTCTTGCTCTACTTGCTCCTCTTAGTAACACAAGGAAGGAGGTGGTGGTTCACATCCCTATGTCCTGCCTCACTTGTTGCCACCTTGATTAAAATATCCAGGAAGGCTTCGCTGTTGGAGATGGCTGCCTCTCTGCTGTGATATGGAGATCCTTCATTATTCCTCAGCTACATCCTGATTGCAATAATTAAAAAAAAAAAAATCTCTTTTCTCTGTCTTTCTCTATTATATATATATTTATATAGATAGATATAGATATATACACATATATATATACACACATACACACACGCATATACAATTATATATATATGTATATATATATTTAAAATTATATATAAAATCTTTTCTGTCTGCTTTGCCTGTTGCTGGCAGTGAGAGCTGACTTGGAGCAGTCTCTTCTGAGGTACCACGAGGGAAAGCCCAAAAACGAGCTACTGTACAGGGCCAGCTCTTAGCACTGGTACTGAATGTGTTGGTGCTGGTGGACTTTGCCTTCCACGTGCGAGTGGGTGTGGGTGTGGATGTCCGTGTAAATCTTTGGGTACATTTTGGATGCCATGGCTGGGGCGAGCGCAGCCCCTTGGGACAGCAAATGCTGCTGCTGGGCCACATATTCCTCATAGTTTATGGAGGAGATGCAGTCTTTGTCCGGGACCTGGGAGACACAGATCCTGTCCCGGGGCTGCGGCCGGTGCACGGGGGCAGCAGCTGGAGGGGAGCAGGGTTTCTTCTTGGACTGGCAAAGCCACAGGAGGATCGTCCCAAAGATGAAGACAGCTCCGGCGGGGATGCCGATGATCACAGGCCAGGGCAGGCTGCTGGCCGAGGAAGGGGGCACAGGTGCACTTGGAGGCTTGGGATCTGGACATTATGGCAGGAGAGAGACAGAAAGAGTTAATTGAATGCAGGCAAAGGGGATTCAAAACAGATGTCACACTTGGGCTGGCTGTTGTACAGGCTGTCTGGCAACCCTACCAGACCAAGTAACGAGGGAGAAATCAAGCCAGCACATGATGTTTGGTAACTGCTTTGCTTTTCAGTGCTCCTGGAAGGACAAGCAACTCATTTTCTCTGGTTTAGGGGTCAGGAGGGGAGTCTTTGGAGGATTTTTTAACTTTCTTATCCAAGCTTTAATGGATGCACTACAGCCAGCCCGAGACAGTTTCCTAACACTCTCACTCTGTCATGGAGTGAGCTTTGCTGCCCAGATTGGAGGACACAACACGGGACATGTCAGTAATACCTCCCTGTCAGCAGCCCAGGAGGCATGATGGGGTTGTGCAGAGACACAGCATATTGCCCACCTGCCTCTGCCAGGTGTAGCTCTGTCTGCTGGGCTTTAGACACTCTTTAGTAACACCGTCTAGCAATACTGGAGCTACTCAGCAATGCTCTGCCATGGCAGGGAGCATGGCAGGGAGCACTGGGTTTTAGAGGTGTTTTCTTGAGCTTCTTGTGTGGCTGGGAGGAAGGCTGAAGGATAGGGAAAACGTAGGTGAGTTGGTGTCCCCTCACTGGTGCCCAAGCCATGGAGAGCTGAAAGTTCACACAGCATTAAAGTGTGTCCACAGCTCCCTACACCAAATGGGCACGACCTCCACCAGTCTGTTTGGAGCTGCTGTTGGCTTTTCAAAGGCAGTAAATTCAGCTACTGTGGAGGAGACAAGATGCTTCAGACATCATCTTTAACACCTACCTTCCCTTTCTCCCTCTCTGCTGTTAGCAGCCTGTACGTCCTTGAGTAGCTACTCTGGTTTCTCAGCCTGATCTCTTGATTTATATACCCAAAAGGAGCCCTGGGATAGGATTCTAGCTATGAAAATCCTTGTCTAGATAGCTACCAGCTGGGAATTCCAAAGCCTGGAAACATACCCAGGCACAGAATTCAGCTTGCAGGGAGACACTCAAGAAATTTCAAAAACCACAGGCTATCTAAATCGCTCAATATGTTATATTCAAACATATATCACTTAACTTTCAAGTCAAACATCTTTTATGACACTAATGTCTTTTTCTCTCCTTGACAAATAATCCTACGGCTGGACTGAAATGTTAAATATATACCATGTGGTCTCTTTGAAGTTAGAAGGACCTATACTGTTGACCTCCATAGACAAAACTTTGATTCACTAACATTGGAAATTACAGAATAATTTAGGTTGGGAGGGGAGTCTGGAGGTCATCTGGTCCACCCTCCTGCTAAAAGCATGACAGGATCATAGAACTGACCCGTCAGCTGACCATGAAAACAACAGTCTTCATGTTGGTTGGCAGAAATCCTTTGCTAGGTTGAAATGAAAGTGTTTTGATATTCATCCATGCTGTTCCTCAGAGCTGTCTATGTCAAAACTGGTAGATTTACAAGAAAAATGGTGGGTTTAACTCCTGGCCTTACAACCACATCTTTACCTCTTAGGGCAAGCTGGGCTCTCCTTCTCCATCCTTGCCAATAACAACAGGCCTGCAGGCGCTGGCTCTGGCATTAGGGCTCATCATAGTCCCATTTAAATCAATGCAAAGTCTTCCAATAATTTCAGTGGGAGCTGGCTCAGACTCCTATAGATCAGAAACTCCCAGGGACTTTGAGTTATATTCCACCCATGCAGCCTTTTCCTCGGGATTGACTGGCTTTTCAGTTAGAGTTTAGTCCTAAATCCAAGTGATGCAGAGGACAATGCCAAGAGCATTCTCCTACTTGGCAACCTGCTGTCAGTATCTAAGTTCAAGCCAGTGACCCTCGATGGCTGCTGAGACGCAGAGCTTTGGCAATCAGGGAGTAGAAGAGGCCATGCTGCCTTAGTTACAGGATTCATGAGCATTTCCCCCACTACCTACAGAGAAAACCAGTTCATGATCTCTGTCTCTCACTGGTGTCTTGACTGGAGACGCTCCATTACACCTGGGAGCTAAAATGTTCTGATTTTGGCTCCAGCTCCTGCACTCTCTTAGCTGTGTTGGCTTTGTGGTGACAAAGGGAAGAAGAAGCAGTACGATTTATTTTTGTCATAAAACTGGTGGATCTGAAGCAAGATTCACAAGGCAAGATGAGGCAGAAAAAAATGCCCTTTTCAATAAAAAAAAATTGTCAGGGTAGAATTGCACAGTCAAGAGGCAAAGGAGAAAACGGCCAAGCAAAGATGGTGTGTCTCAAACACAGCCTCAGCCGGATGTGGCCACCAGCTCTGAGGTCTGGAGAGAGAAGGCAGCAGCTGTGAGTTTGTCACAGGGACCCCAGGGGACCATTGGGTAAGAATTCAACTAATCAATCATTCTGTTTTTCACACTCATTCTTTTCATTTCCTTGTGACCAGAACAGTTTTTATTCTTCTCTCATTTTATGGGCCTGTATAATTGTTTCCTTTTACCAGCAAAAGCAATATAAATAAGGGCAAAAGAAAGGACAAATGTAAGGGAATGGGGTTGCAAACTGTGCTGTTATTCAGTTCCCCTCTCCTGTCCTGCACTCAAACCTGAAGTAATGTAGTGTCTGAAACTGCAGCATCTGTTCCCAGCTCCTCTTCCATACAGGAGCAGATAATTCATTTCATTCCACTCAGACAACTGAGAGGGGACCTCATCAATGTCCATCAGTATCTGAAGGGAGGATGTCAAGAGGATGAAGCCAGGCTCTGTTTGGTGCCCAGCAGCAAGACAAGAGACAATGGGCAGAAACTGATGCATACGAAGGTCAACCTTAATATGAGGAAGAACTTTACTTTGTGAGTACTGGAACAGGTTGCCCAGAGAAGTTGTGGAATGTCCCTCACTGGAGATATTCAAAAACCTTCTGGACATAATCCTGTGCCACATGCTTTGGGATGACTCTGCTTGAGCAGGGAGGTTGGACCAGATGACCCATTGTGGTCCCTTCCAATCTCACCTATTCTGTGCTTCTGTGATCATTTCCCATGAAGGGAGAAAAGGAAACATCTTCAACAAGATTTCAGCAGGGAATGTTTTAAATCAGGGCTGATTTAGTCCCCCAGTCATTCTTACCAGAACTGAACAAACCTAAATCAGCACGGCATCACAGAGGGTCAGGGAGCCCAATGTGCATCAGTAGTTGTATAATTAATACCATGAGGCAGACTGTTGGTACAAATGTGGGCAGAAAAGTGAAAACTCACCTGGCAGGACTGTGAGAAAAGCGCTGCGAAAGCTGTAGCCCATGGTGTTTGCCCCCAGGCAAATGTACATCCCTGCATCCTCCTCCTTGGCTCGAGTAATCATCAGTTTGTTCAGGTAGGAACCATCTGGGCGGGACCAGACCTCCCCTGTGGGCAGCACAACAAACTTCTGCCCCCCGACATCGATGGTGGAGTTGTACTTGCTCTCTGTGCCATATTCCACCCTTTTCAGCCACTGGATGACGGGTTTGACGTCACTGCGGACTTTGCACTGGAAGGATGTGGTCCCACCGTAGTCCACCGTCGTGTTGACAGGGTGTGTCCCTGTCAGGATGGGCTTGGACCTCGTCCTCTCTGCACGGAAACACAGGGGAAAAGGTGTTTGTCAATCTCAGTAACTTGCAATTGCAGAAACATAGGAAAAAGGTGTAGGAGGGATGCAAAATGATAGTGTAGTCCAACTCCCTGCCCCACGGCAGGCTGAGACTGCTGCAAACCTCCACTGATACAAATTTGCCCAGCCTCTGCCAAAGCCTCCAATAGTAGATGCTCTCTACTCTCTCCAGACAACTCTTCCACTGTCTGAGGCTTAGCAAGTTTGTTTTCATGCTCAACCTGAATCTTACTGTTTTTAACAAGGAAGTTACTTTTCTATCCACAATCAGACCTGGAGAAAAGTATGATCTCCCTTTGAGTCCTTTTTTTTGGAAGATTTTCTTCGTCCCTCTCTTCTGTACGCTGAACAACTCTCCTATCTGTGATTCTGTGATGCTGTGTCTTACCACCATGTCCAGCAGGGTGCAACTTACAGGTGAATAAGACAGAACTTTATGTCTTCTCAGACACAACCTCACGTTTTTACCAGATTATTTACAAGTACTTATTTATTAAGACACCACACTGTAACCACTGTGGCTACCCCCCAGTTCAGAGACAGTGAGGGGTGGGGTATTTCTTTCTTCAGTCTAATCATCACCACACTCACTATGGAGAAAATTTTTATGGAGGAATAGCTCAGAAGACATTTGATTTTCTAGCCAATAACAAAATCTTTCCTTTCTCACAATGTTTTTTTGCCTCAAGTCTCAGGTGAGGAAGGAAACAAGATGGTAGGATAGGAAATGAAACAGAGGAGGTTCACAAGAACACCCTTTCCAGCGTGACCGTAAGCCTTAGGTTGTGTCAACACCACATAAAGCAAAAAGAAAAATATATGCCTCATTCTGAGGAATGTTTGGATTTTGTTTAGTGTTAGAATCAGATAAATCAGTCACAGTTTCCAGACAAGGAGGTACTTCAAACCTCTATCCTAGGCACAGAGAGAAATTATGGTATCACAGTGGGTGGTAACTGCTGGCAATCATCATCTCCTTTTGATGGCAAACACTGTTGGTTTGAACATGTAACAAAACAGCTCCCACCAGCACTGGCTTTGGGGTGAGAGGAAGGAACAATGGACCCTTTCTCAAAAACTCAGGATACGTTCAATAATGAGGGCTATAAAGATGTGCTTGGGAAACAAAAATACCATAGTGGTCTCTGTAGGCCTTGCCTTGGGACTACGAACAGCAATCACAGCTGGGGAGACTGAGATTCAGATAAGCAGGACTTAGGAGTGGAGGCTCAAGGGGAAAAAAAAAAGAAGGAAATTGAATAAAACCTGTAATGTTTCACAGAATGATGTTAAAAATAGAAAGATGTCTGAAAACTGCTTAATGCCCTTATCTCCTTGACTCTGGTTCCAGCTTTGGTTACTGTTTTCACTCCTGGCCAGCAAAAGCTAATGAAAACAAAGGTTACATACATCTTTAAGTTGATAAAAACCAAGATAAACAGGGACACAGAAAGGGGTTTGTTCCTGGTGCTGTCTGGTTTTGATGAAGTGAAAATGCCACAGCTGCCATTAGGATGGGGCTTGATTCATTTCCCTGCCTCTGCTCCTGGTTTTAGTGTAAACACATGTTTTTACTGTCTCCACACAGCTGCATCTTTATCAATCCCAGATGTCCAGCAGGTTTGTGCCTTCAGAGCCCAACAGAGCTTCCACATATGCTTTTAATTCCTGTGATTCTAGAGAAAGGACTTATCAGAGAACAGATCTTTACCTTTAAGAACAATCACACTGGGATAAACTTTCTCATGCTAAAATGTATGCACAGACAAACAACATGCTTTCAAAGTGACTGGAAATAGCCCTCCATGCCCCTGCTCCTCATTAATGAAGGCTATTCAATCTTCCTTCCACTCAGCTCATCTTCTCCTCTTTCTTGAGTTTGCTGCTCTGTAATCATTTCCATGACAACTTATGATGATGTCATAGACAAAGCACAATGATTTAAGAATAAGAGCTCTTCTCTGTTAAATTTAGGTAGGATTTGAGTATAATTATCTTTGGTAATAATAGGGGAAACAGGAGATTAGAGAGCAAGTATCAGAATAGCTAAATAGTAAGAAGAGCAATTTACCTCACCACAATGCAGAGTAATCCCCCACAGCTCATCTTCTAAGGACTGAATCTTTAAAGCTATGTGGGCATCTAAAGATACAGACAGGACCCTAATGGGAATTTTTCAGGTTTGTTTGTGGGGTTTTTTTAAGTATCTCATTTGTACCCACCTGGACCTTCAGATGGCCAAATGTTTTTTAGAATCTGGCCCTAAAGCCTTGTCTGGCTAATCACTCTAGACATAAGATTTCTGCTAATTCCTTTTGGAGACTTCTAGATTAAATTTTCAATTGATTGGTTTCACCCGTTCTGACAGAGTAATCTGGGCTATCCTAAATATTTTCACTCCTCCTCTATGGTACTTGAAAGGCTTTCTCAGCTAGTTCTCAGTCTGTCCTTGAATTGACCCTCTTGGTAGAATAAGACCCGAACTGGGTTATGGTAAAGTTTTACCATGCAGGTGCCCTTAGAGATTACTATTTCCCAAGTACCCATCCTCATTTCAGCTACTAAATTGTGTTGTTGCTCCTACGTCTTGCCCAGGTGCCAGGTTAATTCTAGAGTTTCAGTAATGCTTTCTTTGTCTTTGCTGATGTTTTTAACACTTCCCCATTTCTGTTTCCAGCCACCAGCACTGCACATTTGCTATCATGCTCTTTTCACCCAGCCAGTCCCCTTCTGAAAGGTCCCTCCCTGCCTTTCCACCCCAGAGGCAGCACTTACGGATCACTTCAACTTTGTACGTTGCATTGATTTCTCCAACTTTGTTAAACACCCGGCAGGTGTATTTCCCACTGTCCTCTGGCTTCAGGTTCTTCAGGTTCAACGTCCACTTCTTCTTCTTGTTCTCCCCAATCTCTTGGGGAGTGAGGGGCTTATTGTCCTTCAGCCACGTGATGTCAGGCCTTGGGTTCCCACTGGCCACGCACTTGAGGCGGATGGAGCTGCCGACAGGACGGGCGATCACCCTCCGTCTCATCTTGGCAGGCTGTGTGAACCTGGGACGGGCTGCAAGAAAAACTGATTGTGGTGAGCAAAGAACACGTAGAAAAGGACAATGTTGTCAAGTGTTGTGGCCAAATTTGCTTGATAGGCACCTGGCAGCCCCATACACACCAGTGCATCACTCTCCCTCATATCAGCTCAAACCAATTTCCTTGGAAGGGAGACACTTCCCAGCCTGATGCATTTGAAAGTCTACTGGACTGCTATGGCCACTGTATCAGCCTTCTGCATAGCACAACCCCGGAATTTCTGTGTCTGTAAGGCAACTGCACCAGACCACCTCACAGAATAATACCAAAATCACACTACTGCAGCTGTAGGCAAAATGTGGCTCCATAATCACACTGTAATTGTTACCATACTTCATGCCACAGAGGCAAGTCCTTAGCCAAGACCAAAGGAAAAAGCTCAGATTCCTGTCAGGCTGACCATTTTCTCAATTTTTTGCTTGTCACATGAAGCTTCATTCTCCAAAGATGTTTTGCCCCTTAGTTCTCACTGGCTTTAAAGGGACTTAAGAAGAGTCAACATCCTTTCAATACATAGGAAAGTCTCAGAAGTGTGTCAGACTTCTGCATATTGATCTGAACTTAAATGTGTGCAGTTCATTCAACTTCAATTTACAAAGCATTCATGTTGAAAGGCCCAAAGAAGTAAACAAAGAAATGGAAAGACATAGTAAAAACCCCTTGAGTTTGTTATAAGAAGGTATTCAATGCCAGTCCATACCAAAAATGCAGAATCTGAAGCAATAGCTGCTGGTGGACAGAACCATGGGATAAGCTACTCGTCTTAGCAAAGAAATCACCTGTATTTTCAACAGCAGTGACAAGAACATTAGGGAAATGCAAGGTCTCTACCTATGAAATCTGAACCTTAATGAAAAATTCAAAAGAAATTACAAATTCCTCGCAGTTGCTTTAACTACACAATGCCAGTCCAGGGGCACTTCTAGTTGCAGGTTCCTGCTGAGATTAATACCACTTCTGACGCCCACTTGACACTCTCCTCTGCATCCGAAATGTTCCTGCCGATTTCACCTGTCTTCTTTTTTTTTTTATTTTGGCAAAACCAGTTTCTCCTCCAAGTCTGTTCAGAATTTCCACAATGGGTTTTTACCCCTGCTTTTGAACTCTACTTCTTGATTACTGTGGTGTTACTCCTCAGCCCCAAAGGACAGTTACCCCGCATTTTTGCACGCTCCTGGTAAATATTCCCTGATTCTTTTCTTGGGAAATATGAGAAATAGGCAATGAGTGGCCAGCTTTCTGGCACACGGGGTTGAATTATGCCCATCATAAAATCATTAAAGTTGGAAAAGAATTCTAAGATCATTGAGTACAACCATTTATCTAACACTGCCAGCTCCACCACTAAACCATGTCCCCAAGAAGCATATCTACATGCTTTTTTGAACACTTCCAGGGACGGTGATTCCACCACTTCCTTGGGCAGCCACTGGCCTTCACCAATAGCAACTGGAAAGCCACAACCTCAGTAGCATGTAACACACCAAAACAAGCTGAGAAAGTCGTGCTTCAGGTATCAGGGAATTCAGCTACAGGATGGTGGGACTCTCTACCAGCCAGCCAGCCCTGCTGCCCAGGGTTGAGGGCCAGAAGCTCCAGGATGTGCACTACAGTGTGGCTTTCCTGAATGGAGGAGGCAGGTCTTCAGCTTCCTGTCTCCAAGCACTGGGGAATGGCAGCCATTGCCCTCTGAGGTTTGTGAACATATCCCTTAGTCCTCATCCCCCTGCAGCCTTGGCCAACATCCCTCCCTCTTGGAAGAGGACACCCTTTGGCATACCCCTCTCTGCAGAGTCCTTTTCCGCAGGGGAAACCATCTGTCTCCACAGCCTTCCCTCGGCCCCCTTGGCTGTCATTTTGGGTCCCAGCCACTTCATGTTATTCCAAACTCTTGCTCAGAAATGCTTTACTCTCCATACAGAGTCTTTCATGTGTAATCCAATGAACCAGAGTAACTCCGGCACTGGAAGCCTTTGCTGTGACAGCTGAGCAACAAGTGTGACATACTAACCCACTCCACAGGTCGTGGTGCCTAAATTGCTGGGTGTTCCCTTTGGGTCTGCTTCAGGAGGCCCCCTCCCAGCAAAAACAATCACCCTCCCTGACAATGAACCCTGTCAGAGCTGCAGGCTGTGGGACGCGACATTCCGAAGTCTGAGTCTGAGCCGAGGGAGACGTGCTGATAAGGGCTGTCATTGTGGAAATTGAGTAAATGTCTGCAAGGTGCATGGAGAGGTCAGGAATCAGCTGTGAAATGGGTTCATTTGCAGTTATCCTCTAATATGGCAGTAATTTACTCCAAGACCAGCAACTCCTGGTCCAGGTAGGGGAAGATGGGATTCCTGGGCTGGGACTAACATATCAAAGAGCAGGCTGGAGCCAGGATAGCCACACTTTCCCAGCAGACTGAAGAGTCAAGGCAGTGATTCTGAGCTCTCAGAAGGACTTGGTGGCATCCCTGCTTAGTAAGGGCACCGTAAGACAGAAACTCTCTTTCCACCCAAAAAAGCAGGGCTTCAGCAATTCTGATTTTCCTCCCACTGTGACTCCCATGAATCTGTCTGGAGATTTGCATTCACTCCTTGTACATGGTTGCACAAATACACACCAAACTACAGGTAAAGCTACACTTCTTAGGCTCTTTCTACCTTTTTTTCTTTCTCTGTTTAGGAAAGGTTAAGTGACTATGTGGTCTCAAGAGCTACTCCAGGCTATGTGCAATATGCTGAAACCAGATCCCATTTACACAGTTCTGAATATTTCCTTGACAAAAGCCTGAATTGGACAAGTTTAGAAAAGCCAGTTAACAAAAAAGGAGAAAGAGAGAGACACACACACATAAGAGAGTAAAAGAGACCCAGCAAGCACAAAAGAGAAAGAGGAGAAGCAGCAGTGTGAGAGACAGACAGAAAAAAAAATCTCTTTTGAGTTGGTTCTAGTAAATGTCTGTCCCCAAATCTGTACCGTTTACAGACATTTTGCTTGTTGGAGTGCCAGCAAAGGCCATTACAAAGTGCTTCTGTGTTATTTATACTTCACACGCTTGTTCTCCTCCTCATCATTTGGCATTTGCTTCATAAACATGAACCACACATTTGTACAGTGTAAATTATGTCATACTCAAGACCAAGGGAAAACACAAGTGGATGGGGACAAAGAGACAGTGTTGTATATGGGTTCCTGGCTGAAATGCTGTTTGCCATGAAGATTTATTCAAGCTAACGAAAATTAAATTAAATTGAAGCCTGTCAGCACGAAGACCTGTGATGGAATTCTGTGATCTCCTCTCCCTGTGGGGCATGGATCAGTCCCAGAGGCTCCTGTCAGGTGTTGCTCATATGAAGTGCGGTGATTATCTGAAACATGTCGTCTGTTGTGATCCACCACAATTACTTCCATGTAGTCACAGTCACTACCACGTCCAGCTTTAATGATACTTACAAAAAAAGCATCATGATGTGACCAAGTATTGAAATACTTTCAAGTCTTTTGGGTAAGAGCTCAGTCAGCTGTGGGAAGACGTGGATGGGGATATCTATCTTTCCTCACATCAGTTCCCTGCTCTTGATGGGGACAGGAACCTCTTCCCAGTGATATCACGGTGGTACATGGAAAACAAAGTGGAGCTTTTTTTATCATGCTTCTTCTCTCACACTTCTCCAGGGCCCAGGACTGTGACAACACAAACTGCTTCTTCACCCATCACCCTCCAGAGACATGCATACACAAACTGATCCTCCCTTCACACCAGCTCCAACCAGCAATTTGCTGGTGAACACAGCTGGATGGAAAGGGCTTTGGTAGGTGTGTGCCTGCCCCAGGCATTACTCTGCTTGGGGAGAGGAGATAGCAGGGAGGGAAAGGGGAAAAAGGAGAGATTCAGGAACACTCTGCAGCACAAAGAAAGACTGGGCCAGGGCAGCACAGAGCGACACTATGATATGACACTGTCAATGCATAATCCTTTTAGTAGGGCTTACATCTTCCTTCATAATATTATTGTTGTATTGATCCATCACCCAGCAGCTCTACCAGGATCACATCTGCCCTGTCCGCTCCTGTCTCCACCATGGTAATGAAGAGTGGAGAGATGGTAGCTTTTCTTAGTAGCTGCTGAATCCCTCCTTGAAGTACTCCTGACCTGTAGTTTACCTATGACACCCCTTCTCTAACTCTAGAATGTCGTTATCCTTTTTCAGAGTGAGTGAAGGTTACCTTCCTCTCCCTGAGCAAGCTCAGCCTCAGACAAATCTGTAATTCAGGTGTAGCCTGGACTACATCACAGCACTTGTTTGCCAGCTCCTGAAGAAAACTGGCCTCATCTTAAGTGGTGGGGACTCATATGGCAAAAGCCTGTCAGGTTCCACCCCCACCACTGCTATGAGGTTTCTCCTTGGCCACAAATGTGGTACAAAGCCATCTCTATATTAAGGAGAAGGATGTACTGTATGAGCAAAATAGAAATGCTGTTCTTCATCCATCGAGCTCATAAACTCACATCACACTCCTGTCAGTAATGGTCAAAAGCTGTTTGGCATCAGCCTGACAACTTATTGTCCTTCAAGGAGTGCCTGGACCAAACTTTGGACCTGCAAGTCTTGCAGTGATTCTTTCCAAGTCAGATTTTAGCAGTTCCCCAAAGCTCTGCAAGAGCAACAAAATCTTATGCCTGAACAGTCCAGGGCTTAGAAAAGTTCAGGCAGGTGTGTAAAAGAAAGGGGGATTTTAAAAAATACTCAGCTTGGCCTAGTGCTAATTCTCCTGAAGTGAAGTCAGACCTCCCATTTGCCCTCAGTGGGAGCAGTGTTATGTTGGCACTGAAGATTTTTGGAAATACTGCTGTAAAAGTCAATATGCTTTTTATAGGGAGTCTATGAAAGCTATAATAGCTGCACATGCAAAAGAAAGTCCCTGCCCAGAAAAACAAATACAAGGGAGAACCATGCTGGGCTATATGGCAGGGGGCCCTAGGGCCGACCACAGGCTGCATTTCGCAGGACCCTTGGATGCAATCCATCCACACCAATATGTTCAGCTGACACTCTGTTTATTATTTGACCATATGTAGGGAGAACTCCCTCCAGTTGCTCTGCCTTTCCTCTCCTTCAGCAACTGAGAAATGTGCCACGTGAACAGCAACGAACCAAGAACTGAGGAAAACCAAAAAACACACACTGCTCCTTACCCCATTGCTTCCCAGAATGATCTTCATATTCTCCGTTGGAACCTTCAGGTACCTGGCTATCCTTTCCTGAGCTGGCATCATCTGCAAAGGAAAGGAAAGGGAAGAATTTAAGAAGGTCTCCTGCAGTGCAACAGTACAAGAGTTTGCATTTCCTCCTGGAGGCACCATGCAGCTGAAACACACTCAACACACATCAGGCATGCACAGCCTGGCCAGTTTAATGAACAGTTTCGTTTAGTGCTTTATGAGCTTTTCAGCAGGCTACCAAAGCAATGGGAGATTAATCAATGTTTGCATTAATATCTCAGAAAAGCCTCTTTGTTTATTTTTACAGGTTGCTGTTCCCTAGGAGGAGCTGATCTGTTGTACCTTCTATGCAAATAGTGGTATAAATCAAAATTAAAGATAAGTAAACCTAGGAAGTGGGGGAAGACCTATATGATCAGTCATACAGAACACAAGCAGTGGAATTACAGCCACCAATTCGCCTTTCAGCTTCCATGCAAAATCAGAAAAGCAAGCAGTTCTGGGGTTAAATGAGTTCTCAGGGGGTGCTGAATGCAAAGTTATGGCTGGTGAAAACAATACTGAATTGAAAAGCTGTTTATGGGTATTTTTTTCTAATTGAGACCATCTCATCCACCTGCATCAACACACCACTTTGTCCCTTATCACTCTAGTTGTCTATATCACTACCACAGAGCAGCTCTAAAATTTTGACTTTGTGCCCTTTCCTGCTAGGAGAAATAGAAATCACCACAAGTTAAACCCCCCATGTTTCCAGCAGTCTCCACCTCAAATTGCCACTGTGATATGGTCACCTGGAAGGTCTCCCTGAGGGCCAAGGGAGAATGAGAGTACCCTGAACTTCCTTCTGCAACCTGGGTGATCTTGGTGGCCTCACACCTCTGCAGTGCCCAGATGTGAAGTCTTTTTCCTCCTCCAGTAACAGCTCAACCTCTACTGCACAAGTTCTCAGCTCCAAGCAATCTCTTATAGCAATGCATCACACCAGGAGGGAGGTCCACCTGAGGGACTTCGGGCACCTATAAATGATGGTGCAGCAAAATATGGCTCTTCTAAGGTTACTTCTGTGCTCTACAGATGGCACAGCCCCATACAGTAGCTGGAGGTGGTGATCTTGATCAATAGCTCCTCAGCTCCTACCTGAATTGCACTGAAGTGGGTGAAACTTGATTTTCAGTGATAGGTCAGGTGAAGGCTGGGAAAAAGTTCACCTCAATCAGGAACACAATGGTGTAAAAAAAAAAGAGAAGTGGAAACATCTGATCTAAAGAATGAATCCCTCTAAATGTCCAACTCCTAAAACCCATTAGAAAATGGTGTCATGAGTGAAAAAGAAGAAAATTCTTTCTGTGATGTCTGTGACAGAGAGGACAAACTTATCTGAGCTTATAGATGAGCATGCCTCCCCCCAAAGGTATAAATAATAAAACTGCTCTTGACAGTTGCTTTAGAAGTTGAGTTGCTCTTAAACAGTGTTTAGTGTGTAAACTTGTGTCTTTGTGAGACAGGAATGTGTGTTTAACCCCATCCTCACCTCAGGTTCTGCTATTTTGGAAACTCATCCCATCTCTTCAGCAAGGGGCATTATATGCCAACAGATGCTCTGCTCTCTTTTGCCTCTGTCCCTTGAGCAGAGAGGCTGCAATGCCATATGGGTTTGTCCCCTCTCGACCCTGACAGATTTTTCTCTTCTCCTTTTGGTTACTTTGGGGCAGTTTCCCCTGGAGGTATGTACAGCTGTCACTCCGAGGGGAAAAAAAACTTTTGGGGCTGCAGCTCCCTGAAGCAGCTCCATTATATATGATGGCTTGCATATGACAGATTGTCTCCCTTCAGTCAAAATACAACATCAATTTTCTCCTAGCACTTGTATAATTTTTCCCATAAATATCAGTATCAGTAGTGCTACAAATGAAATCTTGGATGCTCTCTGAGAGAGAACTTATCAAATCCCTCTGCACAATTAGGCAAATGTATTGGGCAATGGAGAATAAAGAAAAACTGCAGAGAGATGTAGGATTCCTGTCCATTGTTAACTGCTGAATATCTTAGAAGTGGTTACGGCATTTAAATGGCAATGTTCTGTCAATTGTATCTTAATCCTGCTCAGCTTGATGTACAAAGGGCAGTATATCTCCCTTGCCTGCTGCCTCATGTTACAGTATGTCAGCCCATGTGCACTCCTCCTGCTGACACACACGGACTGACTGGCGGTCTCCACACCTCTTGACATGCTGCCAAGCTTTTGATGTAAGGAAAATTGCTCAGAATCTGTTTGATCCTTTGAAGATGCTTCTTCAGTTTTTATCCTACAAAGTCACAAACCTGTGGAGTAACCTACCAAACCCAGAAAAAAACATTTTGGGTGAAAGAGATCAGGATAACTAATGCCATCGTGCTGAGCCGATGGAATAGTTAATTTGACGGAGGAGCAACACTGAAATAAATAACTGCATGCATTTAGGCACATTGGTTTAGATACATTGGAACTTGTTTCATGTGTGCTAGGAATGTGGAAACGTTAACAACAATAGCAGAAGTCTTGAGGAGGGGAAACGTCATAAACATGGAAACTCTTGCAGAGCAAGAGTTCCTGCTCTTTCCCATCCCCAGAGCTGCACATGGGGTGAGAGATGTTACAGCAGTCTCTACCTTCAGCATGACTGTATCTGAAAAAACTCACACTTGAGAACTGTACCAAAAAGAGTTGATTCATGAGATCCAGAAATTGGGTGAAACTAATTTTGGGAATATTCCCTGAAGTGTGTGAATCTCCAGTTGAATTTAAAAGCGTGAGTGAGGCAGCAGAGTAGCCAGTGATATAATGATGAAGTGTTAACCTGTGATGTGAGTGACCCAGGGTCAGGTCCCTCTTCTGCTGAATTCAGAGAGGGATTTAAATCTCCATTCTTGCACCTTGGGTGAGTGTCTTAAGCTCTGACCCGTGGTCTCAGAGAGCCAAAAAAGAGCTTAATATTACATAAAGTAGAGCAGCACTTCGGGAGACAGACATTTCAGGAACACCCTGAAGATGGGAGACCCCTGTCTAAGTCAGATATCACCAATATTTGACTTCCACCTGTCTTATCCAAAGTCAGTACCGTGGCTGCATGGAAAGAATATATCTCTCTCTGTTTTGAAGAACTTTCCTATTTTTCCAATTTTAATACTAAGTGGTTTCCTAGGATAGAGAAACACTTTTACAGTTGTTCTAATCCCTGTGCTGGGAAGGAAGTGTATCTTTCTGTACCACAAATACACTTTGCTCTCTTCTACGGAGGAATCTGTGACACTGACAGCAAAGTCAAATATCCTGCAAGTTCAGAAGCATCTGATGCAGCCCAAACCTTTAGTCTGAAGCCTGGTTAATAGTGTCAGATCTGAAGACCTGCTGTTTGCATTTCACCCTGAGTTTCACAAATGCAATTGGCCTGGCAATATTCTTATTAGACAGAGACAGGAATTTAAAAAACAAGTCACATATGACCAGTATACAAAAGGATAAGATAGTAGCAGAAATCAGGAGTCTTAGCTATATTAGAAAATTACCTAATAAGCCACTTACTTGCTCATGCTCTTGTCACCTCCCCCCCAGAGTTGGGCAGGTTGGGGTGATAAGTACATACAAAAAAATCAGCCTACAGTCTAAGGGTAGTAGGGACCAGCCATGTAGCACTGCCCACTTTGCTGCCAGCACATTACTGTGAAAGGCAGTGCTAAGAAGGATGAACTGCTGAAGTTTCCTACAAGCTCCCATTTCTGTGACCTATATTGGAAGGTCATCCTGTACTGAACTTCTTGGACAGTATCACAGGCTTAGGATAGCAGCCAATTGGAAGATGAAGTGGAAAACCTGCCTTGAAAAGCAATCACTGACTAATTTTATGTCACGAGTATCTGATGCTAAGAAAACATACACATGATTTAGGTGTCCTCACTGTACAGTTTGGCTCCATGGTGTTACAAAGCACACTGGCTGGTCGAGAAACCTGAAGGGCAAGGCTCCAATATCATGTCAGGTGACAGACTTGGAGATAAGGGAGAAACTCGTGTAACCCCTTCCCCCCCAAATACGGCACATGGCAATACAAGACAGAGTCAGGATGGACACAGAGGCATCAGCCCATTGTTCAGGAGTGTCACCCCACTGGCATCATCCCCAGACATCGCCTCTCTCTTGCTTCAGGATCTCATTCCAAGCTGGCTTTTAGGTCTGAGATGCCACAGGACTGAGATGCTGCTGATGTTGGGGATGTGTGTGGTGGAGCTGAAAGGGACAGTCACGGATTTGTATGAGACTGGACACGTCTGAGTGTAGGCCATGATTATCAGTGCTGCTGTCATGGGACAAATTACCCTTTCTCACCCCAGAAACCACGATGCTCTATGCATATTTCCTGGCATGTGTTTTTTTGGTCTATCCTCTGTCCCAAAGCAGGCTGGATTTCTGCAGAGAAGGGATTTCTGTATACAACTCCATCAACTGACAAAGCCCATTGAGGATCCTATGGGACAAGACTGCCACATCAGTGGGGTATAGTTACTGTTTATTACCATAGCAGAATTGTTCCATTCCCTCTTGAAAGTTAAAACAAATGGAAAATTCTGCATAACAGTCCAGCTCTGAGAGAAACTGATGGGAAATATTCAGACTGTTACTGAGTCAGGATCAAATTTTATTTACCCACAGACTCTTTATGAAGGCTTCGTGTTTTAACCATGACTGGTTTTCAGGCCAATACCATGTGCTGAGTCCAACCACAAGTCAAGAAAACAGTCCAGTTTTTGAAGCAAAAATCTAGCCATCATATTTCTCTATGATTCACAAAGTTGCTTTAATTTGTTATAATGCAAGGCCCGTCCCTGCTCTGACTTGATGGGACCAGCTTTGGAGTCTTTGATGTCAGAGGCCTTGAAAGCCCCATTTCACAGATGAGCCAGCTTTGCATAAATAAACAAAGTGACCTCTGAACTGGAGCCTGAGACCTGAGCACACTTCAAAGCACTGGGGGAGGTGATGGGGGGGCAATGGGGAATGAAGCGATCAGCATCCA